GGGGGGGGGGGGTAGTGTTCTCAGGCAAGACACCTTACAGTAGCTCACAGTGGCTCTTGCCAACCAGGAAAAGAAATTCATACTGTACAAGTATCAACGACACCTGGCAAAATGCCAGGGGGAAGGGGAGCATGCACTTCACCAACATTCCACCAGCAACCTTCCCTTCTCACTTCAAACAAAATGAATGGAGAAAATTTTTGGCGGCTTCATCCTCCAATATCATTAAATGATATGAAAATATCAGAAACAGAAAATATGTTAACTGAAAATATGTTAACATCAGAAAATATGTTAACTGTTACACACAGTGGGGTACATGTTGAATGCAAGCCGAAATTCTATTGGCTAACTTTGCATGCTCAGTGATTGGTCGACAAACCTCTCCCCACCCTTACAAACAATCAGATCATTGAAATTACAAAAGTCTAAAATTGAGGCAGCTAATGCTTGATTTTAGCTTGGGTTCTCATTGGCTTAATTATGGACATTTCCCTTGCTTGATTGGCTGATGTGATTCCTTTGGTTTTGATTTAAAGAAACTCAAAAGAAATTAATCCTGAACAAAAAAAAAAGAAAGTTTGCAACTACTGATTAAGGAACCACACTGTGATCAAAATTCCACAAAACAGCTTGTTACCAATCAACATGAACAATGTTGGTCCTTTGAGCCCTAAAGATGCCACAAATGCGACATTAAGTACTGTAAAGAGCTTCCTTGTTGCCACAGGATGTTGCCAAGTCAATAAGCTGAAACAAAACATATATGCAGCACATATGTTACTGCTGATTCACTCACCATTTTTACCTGTTTTGAAAATGAGGCTTGTATTGATCAGACCAGTTTTGATGAATCCTACACATTTGGGTAACTAAGGTCAATTTGCAGCTAAGCTTGAATGCTGGTCACTGAGGGTGTTACTAACAAAATTAAGTTATGTATGACATAGAATCATGAATCACTTTATGTACCAACACCAATTTACTCACTTCTTCACTTTTTCCAGGGAGTTTGCCATTTTTCCAAGTGTGTTCTAAGAGAGAAATAAACTTATCTGCGATCTTGAAACTTCAAATAATGTTCAAAGCTGACAGGAAAAGATAGGAGACCGGCCAAGGTGATTGGATGGAATCATCCAATAAAACAGTTTTGGAGATACATCTAACATGTAAATTGAAGGACTGTTATAGTGCAACCATAGTGAAACTCACTTGTACTTTCCTTGCCACTTGCAAAACCAGTTGAAATTTATCTGACCAACTGTGATCTTCTGGTTGGCTTGTCTGACAAGTGTGTTGAAAAATATATGTAACTGTGATTTAGCCCACAATAGATTTACTTCACCTCTAAACCACTCCTCTTCCCCCAATAGAATATTTTTTTTTGCTAATAAAAACTAAAATTTAAGGTAGTTGTCACCTGCTAAAATTGAATAACAATTAGGCAAATGTTAAGCCCCTAACTCTAAATTTAGAGACACTCACCAGCTATTCATAATATTTTGCAATTAACCTCAGTCATGCTTCAAAAAAATCAACTAAAACTCTTTTGCATTCCACAGTGAAAAACTGAGTTACTGTCAGCTACTGTACATCACAATCCCATTGCAAACATACTTCTTCTTTTGATTTGTCCATGAATCCCAGAAATCTGGCAATGCCTCTGAAAATATAACCAATGGTCAATACAATAAATTGGTGGAAAGACAGCAAAGATTGCAAAACATACACAATTTTTTTTGGCAAGCTGGTATGAGAAAAAACAAACTTTGTCACATGTACATGTAATACTCTTATTATTACTAAATAGAGAATGATAGATAAATTATAAGTGAAACTTACTTGGCATGGAGATAATTCATAAAGAGCTTCCAGATCATAGTAAAAAGGATCAAGGAAAGAAGATATCCATACCAAACAGAATACATGTACACCTATAACATGAAAAAAAAACAACATTTCATAATCATACACAATTTCATGGTTGAATAGCTTGCTTGATCAAGACAAGGTGGAATTAGAACTTTACCACTAACCACAAATATCAAAAAAGATGCTGTTGGATTTGACCATGTTAACACCTTTCCAACAGACTTGATAAAACCTGTTATTGGTTTAATTCCAGCACCTGTGCAGAAATAAACAATATTTCAATTCATTTTCTTACCTTTGTGTGTAACTTACAAGGGAATAGAGATAATTAGTCATTCCAGGAGAGAATTACTTAATAGTAAATATAAAATGAGTTCTTTAAAGGGTTAAATCATATTAAACACAATACAAAGCAGAACTAAAGTAAGGCAAATAAAAAATACTCATATTATTATTATTCATAATATTATTATATTAGAAATTCAAAATTGTTGAATCTTTTTAAAAAATATTTAAAGACGTATTTATTTAAAGAAGCTTTCAGTTGTTAAATATAGAATTACATTAGATCAAATTATATATATTTTTGTACTTAAACTACACTATTATACATTTTTAGATATTTTATTGACATATGTTTAGCATATCTATATTATTAGATTTTTTTCTTTTTCTATTTGTTGTTTTTTTTTTCAGATAGATTTCTGTAACATTTTAGTTTCTGTGCTGATGAAAATGTATATTGATATTATCGCAATATAAGTTAATATTCTTAATTGTTATTCTTTTAATACTGGTTACTTACTGAATCTGTTGATGTTTTCCCTGAGCCTAAAGAAAAATTGGAGAGTTAGGGACGCTACTGGTCACACAAAAAATGTTCCATTCATCAGATGATTCTGCAACAGCAAGTCTGAAGAAGATTAACTTATTTAACCCTAACAGCAGTATACAAGTTCTCTGTACTGTTATACATTTCCTATCAAAATAGTTATCTACTCAGAGAAAGCTTCTTGAGTTTGCAATCATTTCCTTTAATCTTATGACCTAAATATTTGATTCAAGTTGAAGTTGAAGTTGAAGTTCATTTATTTSTTTTAAGCAGGTTGATTAATTGGCAGCTGTAATAGCTGATGTGGACCTGCTGTCGTAACCCACCCATCCCACCCCAGGGGAGGACATCCATCACACAGTAATCTCGTGTGTGGGAAATTAACGTCTCCTGCCCCAACCCTGCAGGAGACGGAACCTCCATTTATTCGTCCCTATCCAAGAAGACTAGAATATCTAACCACTTCTTGATGTTATAGAAAGGTAGCAAATTCTTCTCAATTATTTTAAGACCTTTGAGTGTTGGTCCGGCCGGGGCTCGAACCCTCGACCTCCCGCACTACAGTCCAGCGCTCTATCCATTGAGCTAACCGGGAGGCGGTGATACCATTGGAAGAAATTAGATGCTGGTCACTCTTATGGGTTATGAGATTAATAAACATTGGACAACCTCATATCTAAGGGTAACTTACGTCTTGATGGCCAAGGGGTCACCCTCCCCATCCTCCTCCTCAGTGTCTTCAGGTTCATCATTAACGAAATCCCACAGTCTGTCCGCCAACTAATGACCATAAAGAATACTGAGTGTAAATTAAATGTTTAGGGGTTTGCAACTCAATCCCCTCTGGAAGTGGACAGGATGCCAATCCATCACAGGGTGTGCCTGAATAATGTTTGTTTTAGATTACCTCCCTGGATGGAGAGAGGCAGTCTCTAAGGGAAAATGTCTTGTCCAGAACAACATAGTGAATCTGCCAGGGCTTGAAGCTGGTCACCATAATTATAACCAACCACAGCTTCCACTAACTGTACATACAATTGAAGGTACAGTCAAACCTTGATTATCTGGACCTCCATTATCCAGATTTTGCAATTATCCAGATTTTTTCCTCTGGTCCGAATTTTTCATGAATATTTATTAGTCATGATCAAGATCCGTAGCCACATTCTTTTTAAAAGTACAGCATTGAAAAATGAAGTAAAGGTGATGCTCTTTTTAAAGACAAATTACTGCAGACTTACTTCAACATTTTGGGCTGATATAAAAACATTTTTCATTAATTTTGATTGTTAATACACACGTGTACATGTAGAGGTATTCATGTAGGACAGTGAAGATGTAGACCATATCTTTTTCATTTAACGATTTGTAAATGTTCTGTTTCAGGATTAAATGTCGCTTTCTTGATTTAATCAGTTTTTGTTCCTCATTAATATTCATATTCTCGATTATTTGGACCCTTGATTATCTGGATTATTTCGTCTAGTCCCAATGAGTCCCGAAAATTGATGTTCAACTGTAGCAAGAAAGACTAAAGGAAATAGCAAAGTAGTAAAAGAACACAAACAGTAGGTCATCAGTTGAGAGAAGGAAGTTTATTTATTTACTTTATTTACAAGCTAACTGCTGATAGGCAGGGACACTGCAACAGCTTTTCTGCCAATCACTGCAGGCCCAGTAACCCACTCGTCCCACCCCAGATCCATCACACAGTAATCTCGTGCATGGGAAATTAACATCTCCTACCCCTAACCCTGCAGGAGACGGGACCTCCATTTATTCGTCCCTATCCGAGAAGACTAGAATATCTAACCGTTTCTTGATATTATAGAAAGGTAGCATATTCTTCTCAATTATTTAAGACCTTAGCTTGAGTGTTGGTCCAGCCGGGGCTTGAACCCTCGACCTCCCGCACAATAGCTAGTCCAGCGCTCTATCCATTGGGCTAACCGGGAGGCGGTCAGTTAGAAGGGAAAGTTAGAAAGTTAGAAAGTTAGAAAGGAAGGTAATGATATTATGTGCAGCCTCTCCTACTATCAAAGCTGCTATAGAAATAACGGACAGAATTGTGATAATCATCTCACCATGTCAACTGCTTTTGCTTTCCAGATTTCCAGTTTTGAGAAGGGAAGGTAATGATATTATGTGCAGCCTCTCCTACTATCAAAGCTGCTATAGAAATAACGGACAGAATTGTGATAATCATCTCACCATGTCAACTGCTTTTGCTTTCCAGATTTCCAGTTTTGTTTTGACATGCTGCACTCTGTGGCTTTCTCTGTCAACTTTTAAAAAGGGAAAAAATGATTCATACATGTACATGAATATGTCACTTGAAATCTAGGACTTTATTAAAAAAAAAAAACAAGACTGAATGTTTGGCACAAACACACACACACACATACACACACACACACACCAAAAACTTCAAAATATTGATGGGTGAGTTCTTATGACATAAAAATGGTCTCCTTACCAGATTCAAGAGCTGCCTGTTCCTCTAACTGATCTCTTGTTTGACTACCACCAAGCATTTCATATGTTTCCTGATTTTCTTCTGGTTGAGTTCCATGTCTGCCATTTGTGACATGCAATGAGGAATGTGGCTCATCCTCTCTTCCAAGATGCACCCAGTCATCACCACGGTCTCCTTCTGAGTCGACAGTTCCCTGATAACCACTCCTTGATCTTGGATCGATTCTACTTGCATTTTTCCTTTCAATTGAAATTTTGGTGTTACAATTAAAATAATAATAGGATACCAGGAACTAATATTATTCCAGACTACTGCGTAAGTTTCATATGCATGAAACGAACTTCTCAATCTCTTACCTATGTAGTTTTGAACTGGATGATTTCTGTTTTTGTTTAAGCTTCTCTCTTAGTTCATTATTTTTTGCTCTTTCTTCTTGGATTTCCTTTTGAAGTTTGTGAATATCCACGGCCTTCAGCTTTTCCACTTGTGCACCTGAAGTGATACAAAGACCAAAATTACTTGTTTCATTGACAATATTTATTTGGGGTGTAATTATTTATGACAATTAAGCTTCAAAAAGATGTTACATAGTTAATGCCCTATAATGAAACCATTTGAATTTCATGAGAGGCTGGAGGATATATTTTACAGCAAAATGCTGACCAAAAATGAAAAGACTAAAAAAATATAATTTTGCGATCTGTGGTTCTAACAATTGCTCCAATTTAAGAAAGAAATCTCTTTTCCTCTTGAATTCTTTGCACAATGGAAAAGTTAATAGATGCATAGAAAGGAGTCATTCATCCACTGAAGATAATTATATTTTCCCATTGTTTTAGATAAAATAAATCTATTTTTCTAAATGAGAAGTGGAAAGGGGTGTGAAAAAATCAAGGAGCTTCAGCTGCTGTTTTTTTTTAAATCAGAGCTATCAGTTAGCTCAATGGATAAAGTGCTGGACTGTTGTGTGGGAGGTTGAGTGTTCGAGCCCCAGCCGGACCAACACTCAAGGCCTAAATCGAGAAGAATATGCTACCTTAATTGAGAAGAATATGCTATCTTTCTATAACATCAAGAAATGGTTAGATATTCTTCTCGGATTGGGATGAATAAATGGAGGTCCTGTCTCCTGCAGGGTTAGGGGTAGGAGACGTTAATTTCCCACACGCGAGATTACTGTGTGATGGATGTCCTCCCCTGGGTGGGATGGGTTGGTTTCCACATTTGCATTCAAACAAGCTCATGTGCGATATGTGGTTAAATAACATTACTTACTTATGAAAGAGTGAAAAATTGAGTCTAGCATCCTGACCTCAGTCAAAGCTCAAAGGATAGATGACCTTATCCATCAAATAAATATCTGTCTGCTTGATAGCAAGGTATCTTCAACACTTACCTATTTATCTGTTAGATAGCTGGCGTTATCTGCTATTTGAACAACTGGGCCCAGCTCTTTGTACACCAGCCTCCGTGTCTACAAACCCCCTTGTTAGCAGTCTCTCCCCCCCCAGGTAGTGGCTTCCCCCTCCCTCTCCTTCCCCCGTTCTTATTCCCACCTTTTGCACAGGCAGGCCTTTCTCTCTGAGATTTAATTCTAACATTTAACTGAACTATCATCCTTTATCTGTAATCTTTTACTTACTCATGTCCTGATAATCGATCATGGTGTTAAGAAGCTGTTCTTGCAGTTGAGCAAGCTGGGTTTCATATATCTCTCTTTCTGAGCTTGAAAATTCCCCCCCTCTATTGTGAGTAACCCTTTGATCACAGTCCACCTTGCCAACATGAAGCTCGTGTGACGTACAAGGTTTCGTAGAGCCATCTTCTTCATTCAAGCTTTCCTTATCGGAGCTGCTACTGTGGGTGGATTCGTGAAAATCGTGGTTGAAATCTGTGGTTAGAACCTCGTCATTTGTATTGTAATCAACTGCCTCCGCGACAAGTGCGTTTAAATTTTCACGATGATCACCATTCGAATTTTTAGCATCTTCGTGACCTACATCGCGGTGAAAGAAGAAGTGCGGTCTTCCATGAGAACTCTTTCCTTGATTCTCATCTTTAGTCGAATCAGCTGCTTGCTTTCCACGAAAAGCAGATCGAAGCATACT